GTCCAATGTCACCTTCAAATGACTATTTCCCATTCAGGGGGAGCTCCTGAGAGAAAACCAAGGTGAATACAGCCTTCCTTCAGAGTGAGAGCTCAGAAAGCAAAAATAAAAACAATAATAAAAAGGCATGACTCAACTCTCCACTCACATCAGACCTTAGAAAAGTGGTTCTCAACCTTCCTAATGCCGCGACCCTTTAATACAGTTCCTCTTGCTGTGGTGACCCCCAACCATAAAATTATTTTCGTTGCTACTTCATAACTGTAATTTTGCTACTGTTATGAATTATAATGTAAATATCTGATATTCAGGATGGTCTTAGGCGACCCCTGTGAAAGGGTCATTCAACCCCCAAAGGGGTCGTGACCCACAGGTTGAGCACCACTGCCTTAGAAGAAAAACTATTTTTTAAAGACATGTAAAATAAATAAATAAGTAAATGAATAAATAAATGTAATTTTTCTGGAGGACTTGGTACAGTGTCATTGGCAATTTGGCCTTTCTTCCTGGGACGTCTGGTTTAAAACTTGTCAGATCTCAGAGGGGAGGAAAGGTTGTTCAAATCAGTGGATGCCTTTGAGGGGCCATAAGGACATTCATTCTAGTTCCTAGCAGATCCCTATAGACATCAAAGCCAAACTGAAGTTAATATCTTAAAGGGCCATAAGGATGAATAACCAGCCTTTGTGTAGTGCTTATGGTTTTAAAAGCATTTTCTTATATGCAATCTTCATTTGATTCTCACAATACTCCTAAGAATTGGACAAAACTGGTTTATCTTAGTTTATTGGTGAGAAATCCAAGACTTAGAGATATTAGGTGAGTTGCACAAAGTCAAGCAGATAGTGTGTGATAGAGTTGGATTGATGCCCAGGCTTCTCTATTCCAAAAATCATGCTCTTAATGACTACACTTATGAATCCTCATGCCCAGGTACACATAGCTAATAAATGTTAGGACAAGACAGAATCTTTTCATTCAAGTTTGCCACATACTGGCTGTTTTCCAGCTAGTTAATTAAACAGCTCTCTTTAACATCCCATTTCTTACAAGAAAAGGGAAGGTAATTGATATGGCATCTCAAAAAATAGGAGACATTTTACATTGCTATTAGTAGTACGATGCTGCTGCTGCTGCTGCTCATCATCATCATGTAACAAAAAGTGATAAACATATACTATATTCTAACCATACTTTCAAATGATTTTGCCTATTTTCATTCACTTAATCATTGAATCCTCACTACAACCCAAATGAATAGCTGCTATTGTTATCTCCATTTTCTAGGCACTTAAGTCTTTAGTTCAAGTTCACCAGAAAGTGGCAGAGCCAGGATTATAATCCATTTGGATATATACTGATTATTTTGTTTTCTATCCCACACTGTCCCAGCACTGACACACCAACTTAGAAGACAGTGTAGATATATCTGCTTCCTAAATAGTCTTAAATGAGAAAGCAAAATGCAATGGGGAATGTAAAGAGAGCACACAAACTTTTAACAAATAATTTCAGGGTACTATCACAATTTTTTTCTCTGAAACCATATGCATACTTGTGTATCTGATTTTAAGAGTCACTAGAAGGTAAAATCTTTTGTTAAAAATGCTTCCGTATAACCCTGAGTCTCCATGGCTGACTCATGGCATATTTAATTTGTATATTATAATTGTCCCATTCTGGCTGCATGCTCCACTTTCCCATTTGAAGAAATAATACTTGGCATTTAAACACATCCTAATTGTTCTATTGGTGTTTGTCTGTGCATAGCATGGCTAATACTGCTGTGGAGGGGTCCAATGGGGGCAGGGAGAGGGGAGGTTGTTCTGATTATGAAATACTTGGGACTAAATGTCAAATTAGAAATTAACATGTCTTGATCCTGTATTTCATTTTCATACATACATTTGAAATGCATTCTTTTTGAATTTGTTATGTTGCAAGCCATAGCATAGGGTCTCAGAAGCTTTTTGGAAAAGAGTGGTGTGTACTCACTAAACCTGAACTATTTGGGTCTCCTTAGGTGAGTCCAGGTGCAATGATTATGGGTGAGATAAGTTGAGGATATCTCCAGAAAGCTAATAGCTTTTATATTGGAGTATGTCTGTATGAATGTAGCTACTAGGTTTTGGGAAATTTTCTAAGTATAATGTCAGCTCCAACCAATGGTGTGATTTAATGCACCAAAGCATTTGTTTGTATGCTTTTCTCCCAACCATCCTGCCACAAATAGAATGATTCTGTAATGCTGTAGCTTAGACAAGAAGCCAAAACTTAACTCTAAGGTTTTCTGCAAGTTTCAAATGAAACAGAGAACCTTGACTTAATGCCTGGCTCAGAGAAAGGGCAACTCCATAAAGTGGGACCTCTTAGCATTCCTTCTGATGTTGCAGAGGTATGAAGGTCCCAATTATAAGATAAGATAAATTAACTATAATATCTACATGGTACTATTTTATTTTGCCTGAAAAGAAAATGATTTTGACAGTCCTTCAATTAGTTAAACATAGAATTACTACATGACTCAACCATTTCAATTTTAAGTGGAAGAATTGAAAAAAAAAATGAAAGATTAAATTCAAAAGAACTGGAACATGTATTCCAATGAAACTTAGACACAAATGTTCATAGAAGCCCTATTTTCAATAGCTAAAAGGTGGAAACAACCAAAATGTCCCTAAAGTGATGAATGGATAAATAAAAGGTAGTAGATCCATAAAACAATATTATTTAGCCACAAAAAGGAATGTGGTATCGATACATGTTACACCATGGATGAACCTAGAAAACATTATAGTAAGTAAAAGAAGCCAGTTATAAAATGTAACTCAAGTTTTTGCCAAATGTCTTTTGCCTGAAGGTTCATGAAAGCTGCAAGATTCTGAGTACTGATTCTCAGCTGTGTTCTGAAGTGGCACACCTGGGAAAGGTGAATGGAGTAATCACAGTTATATTTTAATTAATTAATTAGCATAGGCTCTAAACCTCACACTGAAGTTACTAAAGTTACAGCTCACTCAAGACAATACCTTGCCCAAGAAAGGGAAAGAAAATCTCAATTGCTTACTAACAACCAATATTGCGTATGCCAAAGAGGAAACAGGGAGAAGATGAAAGCAGTTTTCAAGAGCTCAACATCTCTTTACTCTAATTCTATATATATAAAGAGCCAGGGTCCATAATGACGGAAGGCTTGACCAAACACCGGAAGTCAGTGCTGGGTTGCCTTGGTGACCCAGCACTGACTTCAGCCAATGCTGGTGCAGCGACCCAGCACTGACTGCCGAGGGGGCTGCAGATCAGGCCCAGAGAGAGGCCTGCAGAGAGAGAGAGAGAGAGAGAGAGAGAGAGAGAGAGAGAGAGAGAGAGAGGCAGGCTCTGATCTGCAGCCTCTGTGGCAGCTGTTGACCAGCTGTTGCCTCTCTCTTTATCTCTGGGTTTCCCCAGCAGCCAGGCCTCTGTTTTTCTCAGGGCCTCCATCAGGGGCTGCTAATCAGCCCTGCCTCTTTGATCAAGCCCAGAGATAGGCCCGGAGATGCTGACTGGCATAGAAACTGACCAATCAGAACCTAATCTGGGTGAAGTTCCAGGAGCCAATGGCTGCCTATGAGGCAGAGCTTTTGATGCTGACTGGAATAGAAACTGACCAATCAGAACCTAATCTGGCTGAACTGCAAAGGCAGAATCTAAGGTGGGGCCTGAGGAGGGGTTTTAAGGGCAACAGCTGTTTGGTGTAAGATGTAAGAAAGCAGTTCAATTTTTTAATGACCGCTTTGGCAATATAGTGCACATGGCTGGCTATAAGTCCAGATATAGGGATTATGTGTTTTTGTCTGCCAAGAGCATCTCCTCATGCTGAAAAAGCCCCTCCCCCCCAATTTAAGCAATCTTATCCTATATAATCTATCTATACCAGGGGTGGGCAAACTTTTTGACTCGAGGGCCACAATGGGTTCTTAAACTGGACCGGAGGGCTGGAACAAAAGCATGGATGGAGTGTTTGTGTGAACTAATATAAATTCAAAGTAAACATCATTACATAAAAGGGTACGGTCTTTTTTTTTTTTTTTTTTTTTTTTTTTTTTTTTTTTTTTTTTAGTTTTATTCATTTCAAACGGGCTGGATCCGGCCCGCGGGCCGTAGTTTGTCCATGGTGGATCTATACTAATAAAAGGGTAATATGCTAATTAGACCAGGTTGACCAGCCATCTTCCGGACATCTGACTTCCTTCCAGACAAAGCCATGGTTGTGGGGGCCAAGGCAGAGGCCATTAAGGGTGATCAATCTGGCAGGGAAGGGCAATTGGGGGTGAGATCAGGCCGGCAAGGGAGGGCACTTGGGAGCAACCAGGCCAGCAGGGGAGGGCAGTTGGGGGAAAGATCAGGCCAGCAGGGGAGGGCAGTTAGGGACAATGAGGCAGACAGAGACAGTTAGGGGTGAACAGGCCAGCAGGGGAGGGCAGTTAGGGGCGAGATCAGGCTGGCAGGGGAGGGCCATTGGGGGCAAGATCAGGTCAGCAGGAGAGGGTAGTTGGGGGCAACCAGGGCAGCAGGGGAGGGAAGTTGGAGGCAATCAGGCAGGCAGAGGAGCTGTTAGGCATCAATCAGGCTGGAAGGGGAGTGGTTATGAGACGATCAGGCTGGCAGGCAAGCGAGCAGTTGGGAGCCAGCAGTCCTGGATTGTGAGAGGGATGTCCTACTGCTGGTTTAGGCTCGATCCCTGTGGGACATCCCCCGAGGGGTCCCAGATTGTAGAGGGTGCAGGCTGGGCTGAGGGACACCCCCCCCCAGTGCACGAATTTTGTGCACCGGGCCTCTAGTTTTAATGAAAGTGTAAGCTGATCCATCCTGTTCCAGAATACTATGCCTATCTTTGCTTTTTTTCCCTCTCACAAAAGACCAGAGATGAAGCAGTGCATAGGATTCTGGATAACAACACCATTCCAGTTCCTTTTGCCCCCACCCCTTAGTTCCCAAACCAAGCCTTAAGGTATTCCTACCTGGTAGAGCTCAGTGGCAGTGCACTGAGTAGTCAAGGTCTTCACAGGCTCAAGGTCATCTTCATCACTGCTCAGCTTCAGGTCGTCCTCAAGCATCCTACAAAATAAGCAGAGTAGTGTTCATGTTAGAAAGTGTCTTTTATAAGCCATCCTCAGATTAATCTTGCAATGAGGATAAAATATTGGAACTACAATCTGACAGCTGCAATTCTGTCAAAGGTGCAAAGGGAACCAAGATTCTTTCAGCTAATTAGATATTTGAGATCATATTTATATCATACTCTGCACACATCATTCCTCTCTACCTTCTCCTAAATCAAGAACAAAAAAAAGGACTATTTCAGCATCTCCAGAGATGACCGAAATCTATATATTTTTACTACTGAAAGTATAATAAATGCAGATTAATCACTGTGGAGGTGGGACGTAGCATTGGATCTCTAGAGAAAAAGATGGTCCAAGTCTCCCATGAAAGAATAGGGGTATGATAATAGCCCCTAGCTACAGAGGCTATTCCCAAAGCCTGCTGGGGATCTCTAGATGAAAGAGGAAAAATGCCCAGTGAACTTCCACTACCTTTCTATTCCCTCTGCACTATGGCAGTTCGGTGGTCACAAAATAGCTGGGCGAGAAATGGCTGGCCATTAACTTTTGATATATGACTGATATCTTCCTATAAGATTTGATCCAACAGAAGTAAGCTCATGATATGGCTAAGAAGTCTTTCTATACTAAGGAAAGATACGTGAAAATATGAATGGACTGAATTTTGTTGATGAAATAGCACCTTCAAGATTGTTGATCAAGCACACAGAGCCCTTTTTTTCTACAGGATTATTAATTCCAGTGCACCTCACTGTCTCCAAGTTTGAGCTACAGAGGGGAAGGTGCTTATTATCTTAAAATTCCAGTTAATCAACCTTCAAAGAGCATTTGGTGTTAATATTTTTATTTCATAAATACAATCTTAGACCTTGTCCCAGGCTTCAAGTGTGGGTTCTTTTTTGCTGGTCAAAAAGGACTTTATTCTCTCTCTCTCTCTCTCTCTCTCTCTCTCTCTCTCCTCTGAATATAGGTAGTCAATGACTATATGTTAATTTATACCTAAGTGATAAATGATTCCTATCATTTAGAGAATCAATTTCTGTGTCAGGGAAGGTGCTAATTATTTAATCAGGAGCATGCTATTGAAATCTATGAAGGAAGTGCTATTATTAGCCATATTTCCTAAATGTAAACACCAAGACTTAGAGAGAGTAAACAACTTGTTTATGATCACACAGCTAGGAAATCATGGAGGTAAACATGGAACCCATACTATCTTCACCTGTAACTTGAGAATATATAATGTTTTCCCAGAGGATATAACTTACAAAAGATGATGTATTAAATAAGTAAAATTAGCAGCAATATAAAAAAATCATAAAACAAATGAAGACATATTGATATAGTTGGATTAAACTGCTTGGCCAATCATAAAGTCTGCTATATTGGGTAAGTCATTTATTATCTCTGAACCTCATCTAGCCTTCTCATCTGTTAAATAGGATAATAATTAAACTTTTGCATGTGAAATGTTTTATGAAAACACAGGTTTTCATAGAGCATTATAACCTGATACAGGTTACAGTTATTTTAGACATCATTAATACTATTAACAAGTAATCACAAGTGAAGTCTTCATGAGACTTTGTTCTTCTCATTTTAATTCACCAAGCAATGCAAAGCCATGATGACTAGGGAACGGTCTCATGGAGTCTCAAAGCTGCATCCAGAAATGGGTTCACGGTATTCAGGCTACTCTCCTTTGGGTAGAACTAGCTTGTCCAGAACCTGAGTGCAAAGAGCTGAACTCAGCTCTTATTTTACTCTCCAATCAACCCTATATGATTTTTAAAAAATATATTTTATTGATTTTTTACAGAGAGGAAGGGAGAGGGATAGAGAGTTAGAAACATCGATGAGAGAGAAACATTGATCAGCTGCCTCCTGCATACCCCCCATTGGGGATGTGCCTGCAACCAAGGTACATGCCCTTGACTGGAATTGAACCCGGGACCCTTGAGTCTGCAGGCTGATGCTCTATACTATGAGCCAAACTGGTCAGGGCCAACCCTATATGATTTTAACATGGAAATTAAAGGTCCTCAACTGTACATTTCTGAAAATAGGCAGCCAATCTACATAGTAATTGATATTAAACACCCTTGGCCAACAAGCTTGGTATAAATTTGGTTGTTAATAAAGGACATTTTGATGCATATATTCAAGTCCCAATAAACCCAAGTCAAGGAAGTAACTAGGAAGGCAAACTATCATTAGTTATCTCTAGAGGTGTTAGACATTTTTTCATTCCATTCCTTCCCTGACTTATTAAGCTTTATTATTTAATATACATGTATTTGTTTGCATTCCCATCCATTGCTAATGGTGAACATTAGGGAAAGTGTAAAATTATGAAATATTTTGAATTTAATTTTTATAGCACCACCATTTAAACCCATTTCAATTAAGGTAGTCTCAGCAGAAAAATAGCAATCTCTTTTCATGATGTTATAATTACATAGACAAATTCATCACACACTAGATATCCTAAAATGTGAAAAAAATGCTCATATAAATGTAGGTCTGTGTGCATAATCTTAAAATACAACAACAGCAATCCTTTCTCCACTTTTCAATTAGACTAGAGGACCAGTGCATGATTAAATCATGCACAAGTAGGGTCCCGTAGGCCTAACTTGCCATCAGGGCCATGTCCTCTGCCCTACAAAGCCTCGCATGCTCCACGGATGCTGGCAGCCCACTACGCTCCAGAAGTCCTGCCCACCCATCAATGCACCTCCTGGTGAGACCAGTCTTTGGTCCTGACGCCATTATGGCATCACAATCACAGACTTTTTATGATATAGATGAAAACAGAACAAAGTAGATGTCCTGAGTGAGTTAGGATGTTTGCTCAGGATCTAGTAGTTCACAATACCAGTCTTTGTGTGAAAACTCTGTTTTCATTTTTACTATGACTTATAATTTCAATAGTATAAAGAAGTAATATATGTACAATATCATGTCATCTGTGAATAAGGACAGTTTTACTACTTCTTTTCCAATTTGGATGCCTTTTATTTCTTCTTCTTGTCTAATCGCAATGGCTAATACTTCCAGTACTATGTCATGATATTGTACATAAAAAAACCCTAAAGACTCCATCAAAAAACTATTAGACTTAATAAATGAATTCTGCAATGCAGCAGGATGCAAAATTAATGTCAATAAATCTATGGTAATTTCTATACACCAATAGTGAACTTACAGAAAGAGAGACTAAAAAAGCAATCCTATTTACCATCACACTAAAAAAATTAAGATACCTAGGAATAAAATTAACTAAAGAGGTAAAAGAACTCTACTCAGAAAACTACAGGACGTTGAAAAAAGAGATAGAGGAAGACATAAACAGATGGAATAACATACCATGTTCATAGATTGGTAGAATCAACATCATTAAAATGTCCATACTACCCTAAGCAATCTATAAATTCAACGCACTCCACATTAAAATACCAATGGAATATTTCACAGACCTAGAATGAACTATCCAAAATTCATCTGGAATAAAAAAAGACCCTAATAGCTGCAGCAATCCTGAGAAAGAAGAACAAAGTAGGTGGGATCTCAATACCAGATATAAAGCTGTATTACAAAGCCACTGTTCTCCAAACTGCCTGGAACTGGCACAAGAACAGACATATAGATCAATGGAATAGAATAGAGAACCCTGAAATCAACCCAAACCAATATGCTCAATTAATATTTGACAAAGGAGGCAAGAACATACAATGGAGTCAAGACAGTCTCTTCAATAAATGGTGTTGGGAAAATTGGACAGATACATGCAACAACAAAAAATGAAACTAGACCACCAACTTATACTATACACAAAAATAAACTCAAAATGGATAAAGGACTTAAATGTAAGATAGAAAACCATAAAAAATACTAGAGGAATCCAAAGGCAACAAAATCTCAGATGTATGCCAAAGCAATTTCTTCATTGATACAGCTCCTAGGGCATTGGAAACTAAAGATAAAATAAACAAATGGGACTACATCAAAATAAAAAGCTTCTGCACAGCAAAAGAAACCATCAAGAAAACAACAAGAAAGCCCACTGCATGGGAGAACATATTTGCCAATGTTATCACCAATAAGGGTTTAATCTCCAACATTTACAGGGAACTCATACAACTTAACAAAAGGAAGATAAACAATCCAATAAAAAAATGGGCAAAGGACCTAAATAGACACTTTTCTTTTCTTTTCTTTTTTTAACATATATTCTATTGATTTTCCACAGAGAAGAAGGGAGAGGGATAGAGATTTAGAAACATCAGTGAGAAAGAAAGATGGATCAGCCGCCTCCTACATGCCCCCCACTGGGGATGCGCCTGCAACCAAGGTACACGCCCTCGACCGGAATCGAACCTGGGACCCCTGAGTCCGCAGGCCAACGCTCCATCCACCGAGCCAAACCGGCTCGGCAATAGACACTTTTCAAAAGAGGACATTCAGAAAGCCTAGACATATGAAAACATGCTCAAAGTCACTAATCATCTGAGAGATGCAAATCAAAGCAACAATGAGGTACCATCTCACACCTGTCAGAATGGCTATCATCAACAAATCAACAAACTACAAGTGCTGGAGAGGATGCGAAGAAAAGGGAACACTTGTGCACTGCTGGTGGGAATGCAGACTGGTGCAGCCACTATGGAAGACAGTATGGAGTTTCCTCAAAAAGTTAAAAATGGACCTCTCATTTGACCCAGTGATCCCACTTCTAAGAATATATCCCGCCGAAACCGGTTTGGCTCAGTGGATAGAGCGTCGGCCTGCGGACTGAAAGGTCCCAGGTTCGATTCCGGTCAAGGGCATGTACCTGGGTTGCGGGCACATCCCCAGTAGGAGATGTGCAGGAGGCAGCTGATAGATGTTTCTCTCCCATCGATGTTTCTAACTCTCTATCTCTCTCTCCCTTCCTCTCTGTAAAAAATCAATAAAATATATTAAAAAAAAAAGACGTAATAAAAAAAAAAG